CCCCAAAACCCCAAAACCCCAAAACCCCAAAACCCCAAAACCCCAAAACCCCAAAACCCCTAGTAGAGATCTACTGGTGGAAATTTAGAAGGGATTTATATAATATGGAAACGGGGCTTGGTAGAGATGGAAGAAAGATGGAAGAAGAAAAAGAGGCTTTGAAGGAGAGGAATTTAGAAAATTTGATTTTTAATGCCGAGCACTCGCAATTGAGGGAGTATAGCCCAGATATTGCAAAATCATCTATGCTTGAAATTTGTCATAGCAATAAAACTGTGGGAAATATTAAATACAAAAGGTTTCAGAGAGCTTTATTTTATAGAGGAAAGTTTATCAGCAATACTAAGCTATGGTATAATCAGCCATGCTGTGTATCTTTATGCAAAGTTAAGCAAGGGAACCAAAATTATTATTGTAAAGTTCTTTCGTCTTTGAATCCATCCAGGATCAAGGTGCTGGAAGTATCTTCATGCCCACTTTCCCCTCCTCCAAATCCTCAGAAGCTTCTGCCTGCTCTTCTTAAACTCACTCCCATGCTAGTAGAAAGTCTGACTTTGAGCAGGTTCTCAATCTCGAAGGGTCAGTTCAAGAGTATCTTCAGCAGTATTGGCAATGTGAATGAGCTTTACATAAGCTGATGCCTTCTTGACTTGAAGGATATCACAATTCCTAAACTATGTAAATACAAATTAACTCGCTTAGCTTTTGATAACTGACATTTGAATCCAAATAAACCTGAAAAATATGATAACGAGACATTCAAAGGTTTCATTCAGCAAATTATTGAGTCAAAGATGGAAGAACTAAGAGTAATCAGGTTTGATTTTGCAAGACTCGGAGATGGAGAAGAATATACTCAGAAAATGTTCTTCATAGATTCTATCAGAGTCTACTTGGCTGGTTTTGGGAAGCTAAATGAATTCATTCCTCAAAAAAGTAGATCAAATATAAAAGAGGGCAAGTCTTCTGTGAAAGTACCGAAGAAGACTTCTAAATGATACATCTTTTAATTTTTACCTTTTTGTCAATATGATATTCAGGATTAGGGGTTTTGGGGTTTTGGGGTTTTGGGGTTTTGGGGTTTTGGGG